TTTAGTCAATTACCAAAATTTGGATGATTTTGAATATTCACTTGAAAAGTTATCAAAGAAAAACATTTTTCATTTTGTAACTTCGAGGGCCCGTTACTTGGTAACGAAGGATTTTAGGAAAAAAAGTTATATGAAGTACTGGTGATATTTTGACCCCATCTATACATGCCCGAGAGGAAAAGAGGAAGTCCAGGGACACCCTGTATATCACCTGCGCATGATCCTGACGTCCTAGAACCTGAATTTCGTAGAACCAGAACAAACCTATCCAGAAGTTTATGAACGCTTGCGTGCGAGCCACCGTAAAAGCTCCAAGATATATACCAAATAGATCCATATATCGGGACCTGCACCTTAACATCCACTACGGAACGTAGAAAACTTTCGAAATAGTTCGATCACACCCCATGCGTGATCTACATGAAGCGCTCAACAGGGAATACTCACTCTTTTCTCAGATACACAAAGAAACACTAGTTTGCGACCAAAAGACACTCGTCTCCGGTTAGTTTGAGGGGGCCCCATGCAAAAATTACATTCAGTAAAGTGACGATAAATAAAAATAATAGAGGAAGAAAGTACAAGCACCTAACTTTCGACCGCAGTAGGTCAGATGTCAATCTTGGTGAAGTGCCCATCTGCAGTCCACTCAGCAATGAGTGGGGGCGGATGGACGAGATTCTAGCTTCTGCACACAATAACAGTGTAGGGACTCAACCCAGGGGGGCATGGGGCTTCATGAGAGGAAGTTTATTGTTGTTAACGTAGAGAACGTTTGAATTGAAGATTGTGATGAGAAGATTTAATCAAACATTTCCAACTCTGTGGAATTTTGATTGTAATTCTCATTCATTTGATTGATTCCGTATTATTGAGATGGTGATAATATATTTTCCCTTAAATTTTGGTTCCTTATTATATTATTCGTCCATAGGAGAGGTTGAAGTATAATAATATTACCAGAAAGAGATAAAACAAAATTCGGGCTGATAGGCTGTGGTCAAATGGAACTTGTAATACCAAACGTTTCGTCCAGATGAATAATTTCTTCAGAGTATTTTGATATAATATTACGAATATGATACATATATAATGAGTCGTGAATCTATATTTTGTTACAGATCTGATAATTCTCATCGAGTAGATTTTCCAATGCTTCCTTTGTTTCCATGCTTTATCGTAAGATGTTTGGTCAAATTACACTTCAGTTTGGCTTTATAATCGCAGAAAGGACATGAAAACCTTGGTTCTTGATGACATTCATATCTCAAGTGTTGCGATAAACCTTGTTTTCTCTTGTATCCGCGCCCACATAATCGACAGGAGTATCCTGAAAAACGAAATTTTACAAACAATGTAAATATGGCGAAAATGGAGACGTCACAAATGGAATCTCGTTGACTGTAACTGAGAGAGAGAGAGAGAGAGAGACAGAAGAGTGAGTCCGTTGACTGTAGGAAAGGAAAAATGTACACATAGAATATACAAAGGAGAACCATTTTCGAGAACCTTTTATTTTAGATTCATTATAGATAGAATCAGTCGCTTTCTCAATTCAAAGTTGCCTTCGGTGAACAGATTTCAAAATTAGCTACTAGCGCCATAGTGGCGAAAGTGCAAAACATACATGTCTATATCGCCTGATTTTTATTGAATTTTTTCTTGGTGGATATTGTGAATTTAATTATGTTTATGTAGTTCCTGAGAATACTTTTCGGTATGTTGGTTACCGACATATCCATCTTAGTGTTGAATTAATATATTTTCGAATAATGCAAAGGTGCTTTTACTTTTTCTCAGGATTAACACAAGCTCTCCCGACTTTTTGGAATTATTTTGAATTTTTGAAAAATGGTTTTCGATATTTTACGTTTGTATTTTATACTTGCTTCTGATTTCTGAATTTGGTTCTTTTCATTCATTGGCAAATAATTGACTGAGTTTCAGGTAAGTAAGGTTAGAGTTTCGCAGATTTGTGTAAAGGAAAATGTATATTACTGGAATTTAATCTCAACACCAAACAAACCTTCAAACACCAAGATTATCACTTGGTGATTGGAACACGTGTCGAGGTGTTAAAAACGGTTTGGTGTTGGGATTAAACTCCAGTAGTATTCATTACTACACCAAAGGTTCCAAACGGTGCATCATAAGTAAAGGAAAATGTGTTTGGTGGAGGTTTTTAAACCATATGAAAAATAGTCCACATTCCGGACAGTCGAATTTTCCTGAAAATTTTTCCGAATTGAAATGAATATGGCCTAGTAAGTCTTTCAGGGTTTCCTTATGTGTTTGTAGAGAAATAAAAAGCCTCAAATGGCTTGAAGAAAGTAACAGCGTCCATAGCATTTCCGGGGAAAAATTCATGTTTTCAATTTCACCTAATGCTTATGGAAAAAAGTCTTTCTTTGGATCATGTTTCGTAGTGACGACAGAATAAAGCTCAGTTTTTACTATTAGTATTTGAGGATAATTTTATTAGGCGAATTTTCAATGTGATACATGAAAAGTATGATTTCTTACCTAAAGATTTTTTGCTCATTATAACTTTTTGAGTTAAATTTGATCATATCACACATAAAAACATTTTTGAGGATTCCTGAAATATATTGAAACCATTCGTACTTTTTTATTGTTGTCCATCTTGCGAACGTTTCGATAATTCTTTTCTAGAAATATTTTTCTGATGTCTGGTTAAAATGTGCCTCTGTAAAATATGCAGATATTTTGAAGAAAAAACACAGAAATCGCAGTAAAATGAAGGTCCTTCTCCACACGTGTATTTTTTATGATTCCATAAAGTTGCTGGATGACGATACGACTTACCACATTTCTCGCATTTATGAGTTCTTGTAGAATCTAAAACGTAATCCACCAATTATTTATGTCATCAAAGAAGAACATATTTTTATATCATTCCATATTTTCCAAAAAAAAATGAAGAATAATAATTTTGAATCAAAGAAATTAGGCCCAAATTATCACTTGTCAAAAAAAAGCCTCCAAGTTTTGTGTCTCGATGTCCACTTCTAGTCATTGGTTATTTCGTACCTACCGTTTTCATAGAAAAAAAGGTGTTTTTTCTATACCGTTATCAGTACAGTGCTAGGTTAGTTACACAACACTTAGTTACAGGAAACATATGATTTCGTGTTTTTGTGCTGTGTCCATGAATTTTTCCTATTTTTGAACTTGAAATTGCAGAGCACCTAAATATGGCAAGTGCGATTTGCCGAAACATTGTGGTTGTACGAAACGACGTTTCAATATTTTGAATACTATGTATTATATAATGAAAACATTTCGTTCGAAAGTGTTCAAAATGGCCACCATCAGACTCTAATCATAAACGTATCCTCTTTCATAGACAAGCTTCTATAATGCGTTGTTCCAAATTGTCTGGTGTTGTTGGAGGTGTATTATGAATTATTTCTTCAATGTTTCCCTAAAAAGAAATCAAGTAAAGTCAGATCAGGTGACCTTGGAACTAATTTTGAATTCTATTCCTTCCCATCCATCGGTTTCGAAAATGAACATTTAAATATTCACAGACCTTACAGTAAAAAAGTGTGGAAGCTCCATCCATTACCGGCCACATCGTTCTTCTTATGTCCTAGGGAATGTCTTTCAATAGGATTAAGTTATTGCCATTGAATATTGAAATTGTTTTGCCTTAATTTTTACACACCTTGTTTAAGTTAGTGAATATTTCTCAAATGCAATACAAAATGTGTTCATTTAGTACCTTTTAGTATTGATTTGGTTGAAAACAAGAAAACACCAGTTGAGAATTCAAGTATTCAAACTGACACTACATTATCACAAAATAAGAGATATTGCAAAAACCATAAAATTGGATAGTGATAAAACTTGCTCCCATTTTGATCAAATAATCTGAAAAGTCAATAATATACAGGGTATTCCATTAAAAAAATAACAACTTTGTCACACGCTGTACAACATTTTTTGTCATTGCCCCAGCGATAATTTTTCATGTCGAATAATGTAAATACTATTTTCACATGACTATTCAGTAGATCCCTTTTAGGAATGTGAAAATTACAATATTTGCACTTTTCGCGTTTTCCAAATCTCGTACGATGAACTTTCAAACATTTTTTAGTTTTGTTTTGTAATATCTCAGACATCGCTGGCACTGTAATTTTGGTCCTGCAAACAACAAACAGTACATAAAGAGTTAGTTTTCTGTTAACTCGGTCGGTCAAATGAAATCAAAATTCAAATCATTTATTTCCTCAAAATGACAAAAAATATATAGAAAATAGTCATTAAACATAAAAGGACAAAACAAAATATATATACAAGAATGAACAAGAAACTTATACACAGTAGCAAATCACATTGTTGTATTCAAAAACTCGTCAAGAGTGTAGAAACATCTTTCTAACAAAACGATTTCAATTTTTTTAAACAACTAAAGGATGCGAGTAGACTTCATTTCATTTGGTAAACGTCATTGTAAATTCTAGTTGGTGCACCTTGAGTTATCCTATACGTTGCCGCTCTAACGTGTATCATTTGCATTTGCCGAGTGTTTTTTATGATAAATAACACTATTGAGTATGAAGTCATTCCTGTTAGTGAAAACATAAACTGACAACTCATAAATATATAATTCAACTAGAGTGGAAATTTCGTATGTAATGGAAATGTTTCTGCATGAATAATGTCGAGGAACGTTAAACAAACAATTTTTATTGCATAAATATATTTTTGCGCATGGCAGAGTTGCCCCATAGACATACACCATAGAGCAACCTGGATTCGACCTGGGCCTGATAAACAGCCATGAGTTGGTTTATGTTTATGAACATTTCTCAAGTTACAGACACTTTACATTTCATTCTATGGAAGAGAGGACATTGGCAGATCAAGATCATCAGATGATGTGGTGCTGCAGGTTTTCCTGCAGCTGAAAAAACAAATGCGCCACTGGAATAAATCAAGGCGCCACGGAGAGCCAATTAATATTTGTTGTTTCGATGAAAAGATAGGTTGATGAGGTTAATTTTGAAACAAGTTGATCACAGTTCTCAGTCCAAGAAAAACTCTCATCCTTTTGAATGCCTAGGAATTTAACAGCATCATGTCTGTTTCTCAAAATTAAGTCATTGCTAGTAACCTGAATATCATTGGTTTTATTCTGATAGTTGTGAAAGCGGATTCACATTGCAAAACAGGTGGTGACTATTGAAATAGTTTGAAATTACATCCAGAGTATATCCCATTTTTGTGTTGATTCACTCGTGTCTTTGGCAGATATCACCAAATTGATATCATCTGCATAGGCAGTTACTGCAAAATATGGTATTTTCCTGTATATATATTTGATTTTTAATAGAAATAAGAGTGGCCCAAGTATAGATCCGTGGGGTACTCTCAACTGGACCCAACTCCCATTTCTGATGTTGAAAACGAATAAACATCACCTTTGTCAAATTTGGATGAGACACACTGCTGAGAAGAGATGAAGCCCATGAATGACAGTTTGTTGCTCACTATATCTAAGAGACGAATCTTATCAGTCGATTCATTAAACATTCTGAGATTTGACTTTCCACCCAAAAATTTATTTACTTTTCGTTGATAAACCAACAACCAACCGTTAATGACATAAGGAAAATATTGAAAACCACATTGAGTAATCAAAATGATTTAATACAATCTATGGAAGAGTTCTGGCTTTACAACGATCACGTAAGTGCCTCTGGAGATAAGAGTTTCTAGAAAATGCTCTGCAGCAATATTCACAGTTGAAAGATAACCTATATTCTCCACATTCAAATCGTTGATGATTGCGTAGTGATGAAGCATAAATGTATTTCTTTCCACAAATGTCACAAAAGTATCTTTTTAATTTTTCTGAAACAAACGTAAAATTTCACAAATAACAGACGGTTTAAGAGAAACAATTATTATTGGTTACTTTGTTCGACTGAGTTGGTCATTCCTCTACCAGGATATTTAGTCAGGATTGGAAGTGTTGGATCGCTATAGAAGTTTAAGATGAATATATCATTTGTCTTCTGCCACTACGATAAAATTCAGTTATAATGATAACAACATTGTATACAATGTTGTTATCATTCAGGTTTTTCGAAAGTTAGTATTTTAAAGTAAAAAGTGAGAGCGTGTAATTTGCGTCTGTTATACATACTCAACCATTCCGTGTATTTCAGCTTATGGGAAATTCTTTTTCTCCTCCTAATGTGATACATCATTCGAAGACAACCATTTTGAACTTTTTGGATTCGACGTATGTCACTACAATCTATACATATACTATACACAATGTGACAGTTATTAAAATGGGACAATATCATAGTATCGCTCAACATTTCCCTCACTTCCAAACTTAAATACATTCTCTGCTGATATACCAACTTCAACGACGCGTAGGCCTTTCGAAGTTTTTCCGTAACATGTGCTTTGAAACTTAATTTAGAATTAATGAGTAAACC